TAACCCTTTAAAAGAGTGAAGCAGCAACACCAGAGTGGTAGTAACTTTCCACACAGCCAGGGTAACCAGAAAAAAAGGCAGGAGCTATTTTAAACACTAAGTTTAAAAAATTAAAAAAAAAAAAACAAAACCACAAAAACCAAAACCAAAAAAAAAAAAAAAAAAACACCCCACCAAAAACCAAAACAACAAACTCAAATCAATACAAGTCCAGAGGAGACAAAGAGTATTAAAGCCAACCAGAAACACACCCAACATTGCAAACCATACACGACCGGTACAAAAACATCCTAACACGCAAGTCCTTCTCTGAAGAGTCAGGCAAATGTAGACCCAACAGAAGACAGCAGTTCACAAAGAGGCACACAGCCTGTTTTGGTCATGCACAATCCTTGCTCACAGACACTTCTCAGTTCCAGTGTGTTTATGGCTGCGTTGTCATTTATTTTAAAATATGAATGGAGCATTCTTTTCCTCCAGAAACACTGCATTGTTAAAATGCCAATACATTAAAATAACTTACTGCTTACTACATTACAATCAAACAAACTACAGACTACAGCACTGACACTTAATATATATTGAATACTTTCAGCAAGAACAGCATATGGAGTTCATTTCTTCTGTTTTGTTCTCACATGGGCCAAACTCAGAGACAAGACCTAGAAACAGATGAAGCAGTGATCCTGTCAGCATGTACAAAAAAATGTATATAATCTGTACCTTCTCCAAAGGATAAGGAAAGGTTTAGTTGAAGGCTCTCAAAATAAATAAATATTTACCCCTTTGTTTCATACAGAAGTTTGACTTATGGCAGAAATATTGTATTTTAGTTTGCATGCTTAAGGAACATTTTTGTTAAGGTTCTCCAAATAAGAGGAAGCAGAAGCAAAAAACCCACAATCAAAGGACTGTGTGAGTGATGTTTTTCCCCATTGTTATTTTTCCTAGAATTCATCCACATTTCACCACCATACTGCTGCTTTGTCAGAACCAGCACAAGTACTGATCTTGCCTATAATTATATTCAAGAACATAAAATGAAAGTTCAGGAAGATGACCTAGTTTTAAAAATTAGTTGCATATCTGAGTCTTTGAAAGGCTGCTTCACTGCTTCACACACAGGCATTTTGCTAGGTGGGCACTCTCACTTATGATTAACCCATAAGCTGTTTCTAAAATAATAAGATCCTTCATAAGAGAACTTTTGTGTATGACCTTTACTTAAATCAAGTGACAGTTAGCTGCAATTCCAATGAGAACATTCCCCTGCAGGATTCATACTTTAGCGCTGAAGCATTCTGCCAATTCTCAAGCAATGAGTAAATCAAAGTGAAAATGAAACTAAAACAGGCCTGTTAATGTAAAGTGAACATAAAAAGTAATAAACCCAACTGCTGAAATAAACCTGATAAATCAAAATTACTGTGGAAAACTCTTTGGCCCCTTTAGGACAGTAGATCCCACAAGATAATCACAAACAGCCTCCTTCAACTTCTACAATGTTTTTATTTGTAGTTTCCTCTGTGAAAGCAAGGCCAACTTCCAAAACAATTCTGTTTCTTAATAATATTTCAGAACATTTTAGGCACGAAGATAACTTGCTATTAAAAAAAAACCCAAACCTTTAAACTGACAGTGTTCCTTTAAGACAGAGCAGTGAGCAGCCTTCCAGCATATTTGACAGAGATTTCCTACTCCAGGAGATAGAATTTAAATTTGTAGAGGCAATTACTCATAGCCAGTGAAAGCAGCCAATGCAAGTGCCAAACTTGCCAACAAGAATAAAGGCCAAGTATTAGAAAGGAGGCTGCAGTTTATTACAAGGCAATTTGAACATCTCGGTCCATGAGGTCTGGAAAGTATTTTCTTCATCCCCTGACACTACAGGCTCACACTAATGTGAGGAATTATGTCAGTAACATCAATATTCCAAACATATAAAACAGCAGTTAAGTATTTCTATCACAGAGATCTTTCCCTGACTATTTAAAAGCTGCCTCTAGTCTTCCCTAGCAGATTTATCTAAGCTCATTTTGCAAAGGAAAGATCTGCCAGACCCACAGGATTAACCATTAACTGCTGTCTAGTTGGCTACAAAGACATCCAACTGGACCACCACTGCACAAAATTCTTGCCTGACTAAACAGTTACCTTAAGGCAGTTCCCAAGGACCTGTCTCTTGCCTCTTCTCGTTAAAAGATAGAAAGGAACAAGCAAGAGAAGAAGAAACATGACCTCTTCAGGTAAGAAAGTCAAAAATCAAAATTGGCATCCACCCCAGATATCCCACCACCACCACCACACCTCCAGGACTGATCTCAAATGCCCCAGTCAGGTAACAACAGTGACAGCAGACAACGCCCATCCATGATGAGTTGAGTTGGCAGTTGGAAAACAGCTCACGGGAAATACTTAAAAAAAAACCCCAAAAACGAAACCGAACAACAAAACCAACAATCAAAAACCACACCACTAAGTCACATATGTCACAGATGTCAAGCTAATAAATGCACCCTTCTCTAACAATGCCAGCCTAAAAACTCAGAATACAGAACAAACCCAGTAGGTCCAGGATAACTACACAACAAAGCAAGCGCTCCTTGAGAAAGACAAGTACCCCACTCAGGTGCCTCTGCAGTGGGCAAGCAAGAGAAGGTAACGGGATGCAAGAGCAGTGCACACACACCAAACAATACAAAATGAGCAACATCCTTCGTATTTCACCAACACATCTTACTCCATCATTTGTGCAGCAACATGAGCCACTTCTTACCATTTCTTGGTGCACTCGACCATCAATTCCTGGTAAGAGGCCACAAACTGGAACTTGGATGCATGTTTCCCAACACGCTGCAGCCTCTTCCAAACTGAAGCCATGGTGGTGAAAAACACCAGTCCTCTTACACAATAGCAAGTCTGTGAATACCAATGTAGGTTTAAGAGAGTGTGTGTGCTTGATACTAGCAGGTTTATATACAGACACAGTAAAAACAGTACGTGAGGAATGCAATAGGATGTCTACAATTCATATTCTGCCTCTCCCTTCTTCACGGTAAATCCCAGTCCAGCTGAATGGCTCATCACTGGTGAGGAGCAGCAAGCAATAGCAGGAGACGGGTAATCAAAGGGAAGTTCTCTCACAGAATCACCATTCCTCGCACAGTAGATGAAGTGAAGACTGCAGGACTGGAAGACAAGACAGGGGGAGAAAGCACTGGTTAATATACTCCACACCACAGTGCTGCAATTGCACGTGACCTCGTACCTTTCAAACAACTACAGCGAACTACAAAAACATACCCCCTTCCTGTTGTCAATCCCCCCACCCCTCCAATTAAATAAATAAATAAGAACGCTGCAGCAATTTCAAGAATGCAAACCGCGAGACTGTTTGGAAACATATCAACATGTCCTTTTATCAGCACCATCACAATTGGCAACAACAACAAAAAAAGGGCAGGTCAGAGCCACACCGGATCCTTATGAAGCATCTCCCTACGAAGCATCTCCGGGAAGCAATGCAAAGTGGCTGAGGTGCTGCCAATATGCACCCAGAGGGAGGGACACAGGGAGATGAAGTTCTTTGTCTTGATGACAAAAGGTGTAACAGTTGTTTCCTCTCTTACACACACTCCTCCTGCTCCCATTTCTCTGTCCAAGAAGAAGGACCAGCCAAAAAGCCGGCAAGGGAGTGTTACTACTCAAACGCCCGTGACAGGGTGAGGAGGAGGATGAAAGAGGAAGGGGCATCTCCCGAGTCTTGGCTACTACCCAGGATTCCCCATCTTCCTCGCTGCATCATATTGAAACTGAAACGTCTCCCCATCCTGCACGGAGGAATGATCCATCAGGGAGGTAAAAAGGAAGAGGAGAAACCCAGGTGGGTCTCGTCCCTCGAAAGGAAAGCAGCATCTCTGCCAGGTGCAGGGGGAAAAAAAGCCTCTTCATTAGGAATACGGAGAAGCAAAAGCTGGCCGCACCTGGCGAGAAGGCAGGGCAGGCAGGACGGCATCAAAGCTGGCGAGGAGGATACCTGGAGCAGAACGTCCCCCCGCGGCGGGGGGGAAGGTGGTCCCCACGGAGCCGCGGGGCGAGGAGCGCCCAGCCCGTGTCACCTCCGCGCCCAGCCCGCCGGGGCAGCGCCCCCCGCCCTTGGCCGGGAGCCGCAGAAGGTTTAAAAAAAAATGAAAAAAACGCCAACGGGCGGCGAGCGCGGCACGGAGGGGAACGGGCGGCCCCGGGCGCGGCGCGGGCGGGTCCCCGTGCGCGGCACTCACCTGCCGCCGGCTCCTCGCGGGCGGCCCCGCCGGGCGGGCGCGCTGGCACCACACGGCAGACGAGCCCCGGCGCTGCCGCTGCCCATCACTGCGGCAGCCCCGCCGCCGGCGGCGGCAGCAGCAGCAGCAGCGCCCCGCGGCTGCCCCCGTCCTGCCGCAGCCCCATGGCGAGCCCCGGGCACGCAGAGCGCGGCTCAGCCCGCGCCTCACGCCGCCACCATCGCCCTCCTGCAGGCGCTGCGCCGCGCCGCGCCCCGGCCCGCCGCTCGGACCGCCCACAGCGCCCGCCCACAGCGCGCCATTGGCCGCGCCGCGGGGCCACAGCGCCCCATTGGGCGTCGCTCCTGTCAATCATCTGCGCTCCTGAGGGGCAGCGGAGCGGGGGGGGGCGGCGAGCGCAGACGGGGCTCGGCAGGGCCTCCCTCCCGCCCACAGCCCCGCCTTTCCTCTGATTTGCCGCTAGCCCCGAGGGGGCGGGGCTTCTTGTGAGGGGAGCCACGCGATAGGTGGGTGAGGCCGCCCGTCAGCGCGAGAGCGCCCGGCGATTGGCGGCGGCGCTTCCCACAGCGGCAGCGGGGCTGTCAGGGCAGGGCTGGCGCGCTCGCGCGGCCCCGGGACCCGCCGCCCGGGGCCGGGAGGGGAGCCCAGGCGGTGCCCGTGAGGGGGGCGCGGGCCGGCTGGAGGGAGCGAGCGAGTGAGCGGCAGCGAGACGCGGATGGAGGCGGCGGGAGGGGCGGAGGAAGCACGGCGAGGGACAGTCCCCGCGCCGGGCCCGCCCTGGGGAGGGGTCGGGCCGAGCGCCAGGCCCAGCCCGAGTCCCGCGGCGCAGGCCCCGGTACGGGAGGGGCTCCGGAGTTCGCGTGGGGACGGGAAGTTGGTGGGAATGAAATTCCGCGGGCAGAGTGATGTTTTCTTTGCCGGTGCGAGCGGCGTGCGCAGAGCGGCGCTGGGGGCTGGGTGTGCTGCGCAGTTCTGTGTAAAAGTGGCTGCGGGGGAGAGCGGGGCAGCGACGGGGGGCGATCCCGGTGGGATGTGGCTGTGAATTCCCCATAGCCAGGCTGGCTGAGTGTTTCTCCCAGCGCGCAGTGCCACTGAGGAGGTGTCGGGAGCCAGATGTAAACGCTCGGTGCTGGGTTCCAGCACTGATCTTGACACTAAACGGGGGCTTATTCTGGTTCACAGAGAAAAGTGCCACGCTGCTCGTGTCCCATGTGCCTCCTGGACACCCGGACGCGTGCGGTTAAGTTCTGGATCCCAAAGCGCCATTTGCAATGATTCTGAAATTCACTGAATCTCAGAGTCTGGGTAGAGGTGGTTGTGCGATCTGTGGGAGCTAATCCCAAACCCATCAGCCGGCCGAATCAGAAACTAAGCCAGCGATCGAGTGGAAGCACAGGGAAATACACATGATAATGCAGTGGAGCTCTGAGAGCAGCTGTGAAATTGAAGCCTCCGGGCTTTGCAGTCCTCTGTGTTCTTTTCCATGACAAACCAAATAGAGTGCAAGCCTGATCCGCGGACTGGGAAGCTCCTTATCCCAGTGTTTCCCTCCTTTCTCTTAAGCTGCTTCTCACTGTGCTGGCATATCGCAGAGGCTGCCAGCATTCAGTGGCTGGAGTGAAAGGAGAAGAAGAATGTGTGGATGGCCACGGGCCTAAGCTGAACTAAGTTATTTCGGAGAGGGTGAATATTTGAGCTATTGAAAACACCAGCCCTTTGCTTATAGTGTGTCCGTCTTCAGTCCCTTAACCCAAGCTGCCTGGGAAAGGCAGTGATTCTCCTAAACCATTGCACTAGAAATGTTAGAGGCAGTTGTACCACTCATATCGGAGCTTCTCGGAAATGCTCTTTTTCCAGAATGTTTTTGAAGTTACAGTTTGAAGATTTTGCACATTTGTCTTAACATTTCTGTCCCAGTTTTGCAGCTGGTCTGCACACAGAGTAATTCCAACACACTTGAGGGAGACATCCACTGATTAAATGCAGATCACCTGCTTAGGATTTGGGAAATTGAGGCCAGGATTTCCAGAGCACATCAGACTGAGAACACGCAGTGTAGAGCACACACATGCTTGACTTTGACTTGGAAAATACCAGATGGAAAACTGGCAGCTATAAAGTGGATCAAACAAGGTTCTATGAAATTCCAGTGGACCTGAGGAGATCCCTACTTCCTCATACCAAGGAAACGTCAAGTAATCAGTTGTGCTGATTTTATTTCAAAACTTGTCTTTACTCTGAATATACTACCAAAAGTTAATCCATAAGTTAATCCATAAATTTCTATACTTTGTCTCCTAAATGTCGGGCAGCACTCAGGATAATTCCTAATCTTTACCAAGATCTTATTTTCCTCAAACTGAGATACACATTTTCTGTCCTGTGGAATAACTGCAGAAGGTCTGGTGGTTTGTTCAGTGACTTGTGTTTCAAACATCATTATTTATTAACATTTTCCATTTCCTTCATAGCTTTTGGATTCTAGTTACACCAGGCCTGGGAGGTACATGGCATAAGGCTGCTTTTTCCTTTGTGGTGTGGGGAGAAATATAACATAGGCAATTATCCTACAAATTATCCATTTATTTTACAGTTTTTAAGACTAGCAATCCTCAGTTCTTGCAATTTTGGGGAAAGCTTTAGGGGATTTCAAAGGGTGTGAAGCACTGCTGTGGAAGGAAGGGCAGATCTTCAGCTGGAGGTTAAAAGCTGGAGGCCACCACAGCATTACGAGGTTACCGGACTGAGCCTCCTACCAGACCAACTCAAAAGCTCGTGTGACTTCTGTTGGCAACTCACAGCGCAGAGGATCCAATAAAGGGCAAAAAGGGATTAGCAAGGGCACAGATGAAGAACCTCATACCCCTTCCTTGGGTCAGAGCGCTCAGATGGGTCAGCAAGGAACCTCCCTGTTGACTTCACTTCCATATTGCAAAGATCTCCTGACTGGTCCTGCCAGCCACACGCCTGGTTTGTGCCAGTGACCCAGCTCAAACCATAGCTCAGCTCTAGAGGGTGGCTCAGGATCTGAGCCAAGGTCTAGGGAAACTGTCACATATTTACTTAATCCAATATTATGAGCTTGATGGTGAAAACAAGCACAGCTTACTACACCAAAGTACCCAATGCTCACCTTTAAGGTCAATACCTGAGCGAACAACTCTCGTGCAACTCCCAGCAGGGTCCTTCTGATTATGAAAAAAATGATGCATCATTTTATGTACAGTGTCAAAACCCTTCTCTTCTGCAAGCAGTAAAAATATTCACGTGGTGAATAGGCAGATGCTGGTTTATTATTTAAAAATACATAATATGTATGTCACAATCTATTGAAACCATATTCCTGTCAGTTCTGCTGCTTTCCTTACCTATGGAGAAAGACAGCAGAGGAACTGTATTTGTATACATTTGAGCATGGCCTCATCTGTGTTGTTCTGGAAATGGCATGGAATGGGATGCTGAGAGCTGCTCAAGCTGGGAATTTGGCAGTGCTGACCAGGGATTCCCCAGAACAACCAGACCAGGTTCTTTATAAGCAGCTGGTTCCACCGAGGACACTCATCCTATCCAAAAACACATACTCACGCCTGTGGCTCCTCTTTCCCCCCTGCTGTGCTGACACTGAACCATCCAACCTCCTTCGCAATCTCCACAGAAATCCCCATGTTTGTTTGGTTTTTTCTGGATTTTGCCTCATACTCTCTGGCTTTGGCCTGATGGTGGGAGCTTTCAGTCCTCCTGGTCCATGTAGAGAGATGATCTATGCTCTATTGCTGTTATTCCCTTTAAGTTTTAAAGCTAGACAGCCTCTCCCTTATCCTTCAACGCCTCGTCATCAGCATGACTCAGGACAGGTTGTTCACTAATAAAGAAATGACCTTTGCTAGGAATAGCTGTCATAAATCTCCCTTTCCTTGTCCCTCTGTACATGAGCCTGCAGAAATGTCACCGAGGGAATCAACTAATTGGATTATGTCAAATTTGCAAGAACATTCCTCTTTCTGAGGCAATGGGCTGTGGTAACATGAGGTTACCCACACCTGCCACATTTTAACTGTGTTTGGATTTCTGGGTCCCATCAAACCTTTGATCCCACGTTAAATAAGGTAGTGGAGAGTTTGCACTGATCTCAATAATACATGTAAACTACCATCCTGGTCCCCAACACGTGTCCCTACCTGATGCTTGACACTATAACATTCAGTTCTGTAACATTTTACGGTAGCACACTTGTCTGCTCTTTTTCTTTATTTCTTTACATCCCAACATTAACTTATATATATATACATAAAAAATCATAACACTATATATAGCAAAACTTTTTTTTTTTTTAATCCTCCCTTTGTTTCTTGTTTGTTGCCAGAAAAACTCCGCTCAGGTGTCTTTTTTTGTGATCTGGTAACACCCAACAGCCATTCTGTATTGGAGGAAATAATGTTTTGAATATTCCCTCTGCTAAATATCAGTGACAATTGAAAGGGTGCAGGGGTGGGGGGGGGGTGGGGTGTGTGGAATACCCCATTTTATTCGTGCACTGCAAGCTTGACTTTGACACTGTCAGCTGAGAAAAGGCGATTCCCCTATTGCAGAATCAGACAGCCCAGTTCCTATCGTAGCCTGGAACCAAAGCATATCATTTCAGCAATACCCCCAGCTGTGCTTAAGGCATAAAAATATCACCATTGGTTCTTGCCTTGCAAGCAAAAGAAGCAGATTTTAGGATGTGCTCTGGTGGGCTTGTGCTTTGTTAACACTGGCAGGGGCTGAGGGAGGCAGCCCAGCCTGGTTCTTGCCTATGGAACAGCTCCCCTGTGCAGCATTCCCAGCCCAAACCACATCCCAGCCCAAGGTGTGGAGCTGTGTACAGACACCCACCCTGTTGAACCTCCTAATCCAGAGAGAGCCCTGCTGCCAAGGGGAATCTGCAGAACTAGACACGGGTTGGGGTACCTCACCAGCACCTCTTTTTTATGGACACACTTGTATGTGGTGAGCCCCTGCTTGTGCTTCAGCCAGGCAGTGAGTGCCTCCCCTCCAGGCTCTGTGCCAGAAGGAGCACCCAAAAGGCCCATCCCCTGAGTGGTAGCCTCATGTCCCAGCCCCTTGGCTCTCCTGTGGTCAAACTTTATTCTGCCACCCCAGAGGGAGCAGGTAATCCCTGCCCTGCCCCTCTTAACCCCACTGCCCAAAGTTTTGTAGGCAAAGTCAAGCAGGGTGGTTCAAACAGAGCAGATGAAAACCATCCTTACCTGTCTTTCCTTTATCTCCCCTCTCTTGTCTGGCTGACATTCTTCCCAAACCACTTAGCAGTAAGGGGCATGTTGTATTTTTCTGCAGACGAGGTCAAGGACAGGAGTCGCATTCCTGAAATGCAGAAGTCTCAGTGCAGTCCAGCCTGTGGAGTCAAGACCAAAGATGGAGCACTGGTGGTGGAGACCCTACACTACAGACAGCATTTCCCTACTCTAGGTCAAAACACTGGATTAGTGCTGCTTTCTCCAAGTTTATTATCAACTCCCCTGTTAGTCAGCCTGCAGTGGTCTGAATGAGTTTTGTCATAGCCCTTTGATACCTGTGAAATTGTGTACACCTCTTAGTGGCCCTACTTACCCTCTTCTCAAAAAAAAAAAAAAAAAAAAAAAAAAAAGAGAGAAGCAGGCAGTACTTTGTCCATAAATAAAATAACAACCTTCAATCTTTTATCATGCTTAGTGCCTCCTGTACCCTTTCCAGTTCTTCAGTGCCCTTCCTGTGTGGTCTCCCTAGCCTTTTTGCAGAGTATAATTATGCTTGTGTAGGACATCTTGCAGCACTAATGAGGGCAAAGAATGCCTTTCTCCCTCTCTTAAAATCAACAGCACATAATGTGGCCAGCAGGACAGGGCAGTGATCATCCCCCCTGTACTGGGCACTTCGTGAGGCCACACCTTGAATCCTGTGTTCAGTTTGGGCCCCTCAGGACAAGAAAGACATTGAGGTGCTGGAGCGTGTCCAGAGAAAAGCCAAAGAGCTGGTGAAGGGTCTGGAGCACAAGTCTGATAAGGAGCAGCTGAGGGGGTCAGCCTGGAGAAAAGGAGGCTCAGGGGGGAGAGAGCCTGGAGGGGCCATGTAGATGTGGCCCTTGGGGACATGATTTAGTGGTGGGCAGTGCTGAGTTGACCGTTGGACTTGATGATCTTAAATGTCTTTTCCAACCTAAATGATTCTATGATTCTATTATTTATGACCAAATAATCCATGCTTGTTAATTTAAGATGCCCTTCATAAACAATTACCTGGATTCTCTGGAACTGTTGGTCTTTTCTCACTGAGTTTTCTTCTTCTTTCAATTTCTATAGTTCAACTTTAAACACGACCGTTTTTAATAAGCAGGTTTTTTCTTAAGCTAATTGCTGCTACACAGACCACCACCAATGCTCTCTAGACACAGCTGAAAGTGAAAGGGCCAAACTTTAGACAAATATAAAGACAGAGCAACCTATGGCTAGGGTTTGGAACAAGCATCTCAGAGAGGTATGGCAGCACAACTGAAAACACAAGACATTTTCTTCACAGACACAGGTTAAGAACAGAAAGACCCTTTTCTAAGAGTTAAGGAAGGAAATAAGAGATGGAGCAAGTTCAGAGGAAGACTTGCTTTCTAGCCCCCATACCCATTTTACATGACCCTGGCTATGTCAAATCTCTGCTTAACCAGCTGTAGATGTTTCATAGAGGCATCTAAGAAAACTGCAGATTCAGTGGTGGAAAGGTCAAGGAGTGAAGGTTGTACAGCCCACACTTTTTTTTTTTTTTTTTTTCCTACTGTGATCCCGTTTATCAGAAAATCAGTAGCTGGCCATGCAATCAGAATAATGAGCTGGAAAATGGTAAAGCCTTTTACATGTAATTCCGTAACTGCCAGAGAAATCATAAAAGGGAACATGCCTGTCTCTAAAGATTATGCAGGAAACTCCTCTTTGCCCAAATATAATATATGTCACCTTTAAAGAGAACGCCTAGTTAACTTTGGATCCACACCATCAGTCATTCAAGCAGTTCATCAGTAACAGGGCTATGCTTCCTTGGAATATAGGCATTAGCAATGCACAGGCCATCACAGATCAAATCTGAGGCCTTCTTGGAAGCCAGTCGAGAAGCAATTACCTTGCAGATGTGATAAGACAATCTATCACGCAAAACCGTGTTCCTACCAGGCTAAGAGGAAATTTGGAGCTAACAGCTTGTACAGCCAGAATCCCAAACATCACACAGCGTGGACATTAGCGAATACTTGATGAAAAGTACCTCAAATCACAGAGTGGAAATATATATTTGTGGTATGGACTTCATCCTGCAGAAGATCTACAGTTACCACAGTCACAGCCAATGAAAGCACCTACTCATGTATGCAAGACATGCAAGTGGACAAGTGTTTGCAGTAATGGTGTTGGGCAGGTGTGAGATGGTATAGAAAAACTCAGTTTTGAAAGGACAAGCAATTAATTCTGTTGTAAAACCGACTGCAGTCTCCTGCTCCGACTTGTAATATCTTAGCAGCCACACAGTTTAGACAAATACCTCTAGTTAATCTGGAAATTAAACTACATAATCACAGCCAAGTTAGATAATTCCAGACTCAGAAACAGCTCTTCAATATGCCCAGATTAACCCATAGGGATTTAAATGGTGTTGCAAGTTATTTTTAGCTGAGTTATCACTAATCTCCCTATATGCTTTTTAGACTGTATAAAGTCACACTGTCAGAAAACATGTTAGCTTCCAAAAATAAAAGAGCTGACCACAAATGGGGTGTAGGACTCATTTGCCAGATCATGGTGGTGGTTGGGCTCCTCCAGTTTGCCTCACTTTACAACCTCATTTCTGCTAAATTTCTCTGCACAAGCTATGGAGGACACGTAGCCTTGTGGACCGTGTATTATCCCTGTGGCAGATTCCTCAGTGAGTCCCAGGCTGAAGGAGGAGGTTGCTCAATGTAGGTATTTTCCATCCACCGTCTTGGAATCTTACTGACTTTTCACACATGCCTAGAGGGAGTGACTGCTTTGCCAGCCCTCTAGAGGGACAATCGGGAAGAGGGGGGTGGGGAGGAAATCTCTCGTTTGGGCCACTTGCTAACTGCAGCTCAGTGACACAGTAGTGCCTGGGGCCACTTTGAATCACTAGTTTTGAAATTAAAGATCTAGGGGTATAAATGGGTTTCTCTCCAGTAAAAAAAGTAGACTCCCAAAACCCCAGTGGATGTGCTCCCAGCCCAGGGCAAGTGCTGGGAACAATTCCATTGCTGCACTTAAAGATGTAACCTAATCAATCACCAAGATACCTTCCTTTCATCCCTAACCAGAGCTGCAGAGCTCAGCAAAAGGACCTGCCCAACAGTACAAGGCTGGTAAAGGCATCTCAGCATCTCTCTTCCTGGCAAAATTTCCTGTATCAGCCAAGCTAGCAAAATCTGTCTGTTTTGGGAAACAACAGATATGTCAAACATTCTGGCAAAGCCCAGGAGAAATGACAGTTCAATGATGTTGAAAAGAAAATTATCAGAGAGAGATTAGTTTGTCTGACAGTATGTCTTTATGCTCTCCACTGAAGAAGAACAAGAGTCCTTTCATGCATATTGAATTTACTTCTGGTGCAAGTCAACCTCTGTCAGTAGGGCTGTAAGTGCTGCCGGTTTAGAAAAATGGGTGATCGCTGCAACCTGGCACCTGCTCCCTGCACATCCCAGTGCCCAGAGCTTTCCAACCACTTACTCTGCTGCAAGCCGTGCTTGGTTTACACCAAAGCATCATGGTTTTGGGTACAGCATTCAGAACACTGCACTATCTGTTAACACATTTGCCCAGGTAGGCAGACAGTACAGGGGGTCTGCAGGCCATGGAAACCCCAGACTCCAGTTATGAAGATAAAAGAGGTAAGGGAGCAAACGGTGCCTGTTAGCAGGAGTGGCCGTCCCAGCTCATTGCTCACACAACTTTGCAGGTGAATTACCCTGCACTGCTGATTATCTGGTGCCATCTCTCTCTACAGGACACAACAAAATCTGACCACTGTTTGCCACAGCAATCCCTAAGGTGCTGTGGTGTTGCAGCTTGTGCAGAAGCCATAACCCCTGAACAGATGCAGAGTTACGCCACCACTGCTCTCCAGAGAGTCTCTGCAGTTTGCAGATGTGTGTCACACTCACCATCCATTCTCCTCCCAAGTCTAAGACATCCATGAGCTAAAAGCTTGTATACAAAGTAATGCCTGGAAAGTTTCAGGTTCTTTTTCCATCTGGTAAGATGCTCAACACAAATGATACAATGGTAGGAATTTTGTCTCAGGCTTCTACTATTCTGCTCAACATTCTGGCAGCCCAAAGGTGGCAACAACCCAACTGAAGTCACAGGTTGTGTCTTCCCTGGGAGCAGGCAGAATACATGAAGAGGTAGGAATGGTGTGTCATTTCCCAGCTGTGACACAGATGGGGACAAGGACAGAGTAGCTGGGTGACTGGTGTAGCCTAGCATGGCAGGAATGCTTCTCTGGAGACTGCAGCATTTGAAATCCCGCTGCATCCCTCTGCTGGGGCTCAGGAGTCCCACTCTGCATGGCCTGCTGGCCTGCAGATCCTGCTGCCCACTGCAGCAACAACAGCTCCTAATTGCTCAGGACAGTGAAGACCTTGCATCACAGGGTTTTCTTTAGCCAGCCTCTTAGTTGAGAAGGAAAACTGCATAGGTAATAAAACTGCTCAACTCACAGTTACGTGCTCCTATTGTTTATTTAAAGCATTGCCCAAACCACTTATCTTCCCTAGTATGAATCTTAGTACAGCTGAACTGAGTTTAGCAAATCTTCCCACCCAAAAGAATAACCTTAAACTGTCACAAAAGTAGACATGAAAAGTTTGGTTAAAATACAAGAAATCAAACAAGGAGAGTCTGGCATCTGGCAACAACAGTAACTATAGGTGCCCTTCAGCTTGCTTGACCCACTACATCAGACAATGCTGACCTCATTGCTCACCACAAAATTGTGATGCCTTCCTCAATCCATGGCAGCATCACCTCAGTGAGACTAAAATAAAACCCACTGAAAGGTTTTATATAATACCACAGCTACAAGATCTCTAATGTAGTTTTCTTATTGGAGCAAGAGCCAAGTACAGCTTAAATTCATTAGCTAATGGCCTGTGACAATGAAGGACAAAGACAATTATTATGCACATTTCCCAGCTGATTGTTTCGGTGTGAAGAAAATGCAACAAATTATTGTTCTCCTGTATTAATGCACCATAAAGGATTACTATCATATCAATTTCAAAAAAACCCTTATCCCTTTCAAAATGCAGACAAACGCTGGATAAATTTGATTTTTATAGATGAAAGCTTGGCAGAAAAGTCAAGATTGCATTAGGGCCATGGACAATCACATTACATTTTATATGATATGAGGACTTCACTACTGAATCAGGAAATTGATCTCAGGGCATTTTTTTCTACTGAAGACTTATCAATTCCCAGAGTATCTCTCAGGTATCTCAAACACTTATCCTTGGATATAATAGTCAGAGGTATTCTTAATAGCTGGTTTTTTTAATAGAAAAGTCAGAAAAGAAATACAATTTAAAATCATAAAATCATTAAGGTTGGAAAAGACCTCCA